ATCATACTTTTGATAAGCATTTGAAAAGCTGTTGCGAATTTTAATTTTTTTTTTTTTTTTGTAAAAAGTGGAAATTTGAAGATTTTTTATTGACAATAGTTCATTCCTTGCGTTTACAAGAGCGGAGTGTACCCTACAAGTTCCAAGTCATTCGTCAGTTTTTGGGATACGGTGGAGGAAATTTTGAAAAATACACTTTTGGAAGAAACGAGTTTGAAGTTTCAAGACCGCAACTCTTTCTTCTAACAGCTGGTTTATTAAAACGACTTCGAATTTCAAAACCCTACTTGACCTCCGTATTCTAGACATGTTAAGTTATCAATTTATAAAAAAGTCGATGTTTTGAACTCATCACCCCCTTAAGTTGGCTATCACAGTTACTAGAAGTCAGTTCAATAAGGAATTTTTGCAACCAAAAGATCAAGAGAACATTTCATGTCAACAAATGATTTCATTTCACTATCCAATAATATAATACTTGAAGGTGGGTTCCTGTCAAATGTGTGGAAAATTTAGTTGCAAATCGCTCTCAAAAATATTAGGATATAATAGACAACGCGGTAGAATAGAGTAAGTAGTGCATGATTGTGACCCACAACAAAACCATTTATTTTTTATAACAACAACATTTTTCCCACTAAATGCTCCATACACTTTGAAAAACGAAAACGTTTTTGTTTAACTTTTTTTTTTGCTGAAATAATTGTATTAGAATCAAGCTAATTAGCCCAAATGTGATATAAACTCATCCAAGAAGGCTTAATTAAAAATATGTATATGAGGTTTAAGGAGAAAACATCTACCATAGAGTCGATAATTAGTAGTTTTCAACATTCCCGTTATAGAGAGTATGGATGGGGTTATCATCCGATCTTAAAAATTTTCACAGTAACGGAGAAGATTTTTGACATTTGTGTAGAGTGAATTTGGTTGATATAGTGCAGAAGCATTTCAAAATGTTGAAAAACAAAGAAATTCATAAAAGGAGGAAACTCATGCAAAACTTTATTGCAAAATAGTTTACTGGCGATGTGAGGTGATGAAAAGGAAAGGTCGTAGCTAAATATTTAAGGATAAAGAATGGTTTTTTCTAATTACTACCAAAACTATAAAAAAAGTTATGTGACTATGAATGTAAGTAATGAAAAGGTCTATAACGTTTGTAGTTATAAAGACGTTTTTCACATAACTTAAAAATGCGTTTTTTTGTCCTGTACAAACAATTTTTTTCTTCCGACATTTTGTGTAAATTTATCTTAATAAAATTTTTGAGTACTCGATTAGAGGAGAGATATTATCCGAATCAGAACAGTTTGTCAAGCTTCTTCCTAAAACCCAATACATATTTCACAAACTCAAAAAAATTTGTTAGAGTAGATTTCCCTTTACCATATCCAGGCCAAGAGCAAGAAAATTATGGAGAAATAAAGAGAAATGGTACAGTAATTTCACGTATGAAAGACCATAAAATTATCATATTTATCTTCTTTTGTTAAGTCCGAATACTGTCGTCGCAATATAGAATAATTAGAGTAGTCCACAAGTAACCAAATTTTTTTAAAAAGATAAAATATAGAGTCTAATACATTTAAGTTGGAAGAGGTATGTATCAGGAATAAAGACATAGCAATATGGCAAGTAGAACACCTATTCGGATTCTGTTCAGCCGATGATATTCTCAGTTTAAATTCTCATTATCAGAAATGTGAGGATTTACACAGTACATATTGCAAATTTCATGTAATTGGTTTTACAGATCAATTAATTTTTGTATTAATACCTCTAACAATTTAATAATAAATACTCAGAGAATTTTCACTACTACTTTCACTAGTATTTTATTTCGGTGGTTGCTTTCGGTAATAGAATTTCTGAGTTTGAAAGTCCTTATTATAATATGTTCACCTAATTTTGTTAAGGTATCTTATATATTGATCCATATATACGGTATAAAGATAGCCGGAAATTTTAAACTTCTATTTAAAGTATATGGAGGCCAGGAAATGTCAGATTTTGTTCAGTTTTGGTATTACTTACAATTACCTGAAATCGAAGCTGTTTGAGTTTCAATAATAGAGAGAATCCATATATAAACGATATAAAGGCAAGCGGATATTCGAAAATCCTTATATTAGTTATGCGAGGAACAATTTTTGAGATTTTACTTCTAGACACAAGTTGCATTGTTATTTGAAATAGGTTTCTCAATATCATTAAGGTATCATAAATGTTTACTGACTGATATATGTGGCATTAAGGCAACCGGAAGTTCGAAAATATTTATATTAATTCCCTTTTTTCCAAAAGGGAATGCTATTATCATGGACCGTTAAACTGTTTATGTTCCTTTTCTTCTTTTACAAAAAATAATATAGTTTAGCGCTAAACATAAATTAGAAAAATTATCAAGGAACTTCTCTTGAGCGGTTTCCTGATGTTCACACTTTTACCTTCTGCAATAAGGGTTAATGGTATTCGATAATATACATAAGTGTCTACGGTCCGTTTTTTAAATCTGTTGTTTCAATATTCTCAAAATGAAAAAGCAAATTGGTTTTTAAAACTTCTGTTTGAAAATAAGATAAATGTTTTTATTTGAAAACGGCAGGTTGAATTGCTTCTTGTCTAGAAGAGAAGAAATTTTTAATCGAAGAACGGAGCACATAAATCACAATTTACAAAAAAAACTCATTGTTTAACTTATTTCAATGAATTATAAATATGTATCTACAATATAATAATGAGGAGTTTCCCTGGTCAAAAACTTAGTAGTGTAACAAATTAAACCCAAAATTTCGACAAAAAGTAGAAAATATTTTATTTTACTTTTTTCAAATTGGATATTGTGTTTTTATGAAATTAGTATTTGGTTGCGTGACCTTTGTTTTTTAGTATACCAGCACAGAGTCGTTACATTAAGTCAACAAGTTTTTGCCATCTTTCGATTGAAATAGACTCCCATGAGTTCTTTACTGCCTGTCATAGTTGCTTGGTAGGTGTCGGCTTACATCGGGCTACTGACTCCTTGCCTTCGATTAGTAGGACTATAAAATGGTCCGCCATTTTGTCAAATACCTGCATAAATGTTCTTTGGCGAATCGAACTCTTTTTTCAACTTGCTTTTTAGACAATAACAGCACTTCTCTTGGACTGAGGGCACTCAGGCCGTGATCCAGCCGCAAATAGAAACTGCTTTGAGTATCTGACAATTGAATTGGCATCTCTCACTGATGTTGCTATTACTAGGTTGGTACCTAATAGCGTTACGCACCATTGTGGGTGTGCAACCAATAATATTTTGGACTTCGACATAAGTTTTGCCATCAGAAATCAATTTTTTTTATCAGGCACGCTTCTCAGGCGTACAATGCTTATTTTTCGACAGCGCTAAATGAAGAACAGTAAAATTTTAATATTATAACTAAAACTCTCAATTAAATAAATGTATCTCACCGTTATCTTTGAATTTTTACAAAAATTTTAAAATAATTTAAATTTTAATTAAAATAATTTAAAATTTTCAAACACTTCATTTACGCACTACTAAGATTTTGACCCACCAAGAACGAAACAACAAGCTAATCGAAACAAGTCCTTGCATGTCTTCATGTCGACATCTGAAGCTAACAGATTTTAAAGTGAATTCCAAAAAAAGATGTAATAAAAGAGTATAAAGGAACATGAGTGAGAAAAAAATTTTAATATTGGTTCATATCTGAGCGCAGAATCTGAAATTGTTGAACATATGTAATATTATGTATTTAATATGAAGTAGTGAAGCGTGATCAATAAGCCACTCAATTTCGAATTTTTTGATGCTACTTTATTTTGCATTTCAGGTGACGATATTTATTCGACATAAGATTGGCTGGAAAAACCAAAATCATTATACGTAGTAATTATCCTGTTAATGATCATATGGGGACTAGGTGAAGTTTACGTCCAATTGTATTCATTTTAGGCAGTGATATACTGTTATGAGTCAAATACTTTCTAAAGGCATTATTCGTGCTATGTTTAAACCCGTTATATGATTTGCTTCTTAATTTCTGTGTGGAAAAGAATGTCACATTCCAAATTTTATCGAAATCGGTCAGTAGGGTCCCGAGATATGGGATTTCACCAAACAGTGTGCGGCGCAACGCCCATCGTCAAATTTTACCACACTCACTACCACACCGGCAGCAAATTTTTACGTTTTTGGGGCATTTAGTTATCAATTTATAGCGCTTTTAGTAGTTTTGAACAGTACCGTTATGTGGGAATTGAGTTGGGCTATCCTCGAATTTCATCCATTTTTACACCATCGGTTGTCTTGTAATATTCGTGCCGGGCGAATTTGGTTGTTATAGCCTTAGTGGTTTAGGAGATATACTAATTTAACATATTAGAGGACGGAGCCACGGCTACTTTTTCAAAATTTTTTATCCACAGGTGCTTCTTGCTACTGCGATCCCCTGTGCCAAATTACAGTTTTATATCTTAATTTAATGCTTAGTTATGGTACTTTATATGTTTTCGGTTAATGGCGATTTGTGGGCGTGACAGTAGTCCTATTATGGCCATCTACGAACTCGAATATTTTTTGTCCTAAGGAACCCGCATACATAAACATATCTCACTTTTTACTCAAGTTACAGCTTGCACGGACGGACGGACGGACAGACAGAAAGTCAACTGGATTTCAACTTCTTTCGTCACCCTGATCATTCATATATAGTATATATGCATTTGTAATCTTATATCTATCTCGATTAGTTTTAGGTGATACGTTCAACTTTTAGGTGAACAATACTATAACACTCTGTAGCAATTGGTTGAAAGAGTATAATGATAAGAATGCGATTTTCTTATTGTAATAGTTCCCCTAAACCCCTTTTGGCAAAATGCAAATGTATAATTTTAATCTGTATCCGAGCTCATATTCCTTTTTAAAGTGTTAGTATCAAAAGTTAGAGTTGTGTAGATTATTTTACATACTTTAATCTTACTGTACTTACTTTTCAAAATCGAACCTTTATGGACCGCAATATTGATTTGTATTCGCGAAGCACCACTTATGGGAAATGCAAATCTTGGGTGGATATCAGCATACGTTTGATGTAATTCCCTCGAAGGCATGATTCCATCAAAATCTTTGTAAATTTTTGGATCTCCGGAGAAAAAATGTGGAAAGGACGGAAATATAGGAGCTCCGTTATAGCATTTAGTGGCATTTATGACTCCACTGGGCAAGCACACTTGAGTATTGTGACAGTAGCATTCATTTTCTGGATTATTTTCTGGGCTCGAGAAAACATTCAATGGCGTTCGGTAACGAAAAGCGTCAATATTATTAAGGATTGTAACTTCTTTTTCAAAAGAAAGAGGAATTTTTCTGCAAAGTACTTGCAAAAAAACTTGCAAATCTTCTCTGGTATTTAAAATATGAGGCGGAAACATTGATGCATCTGAACCATCAACACGATTGCATTTCTGATCTGCCCAGAAGTCTAGTAGGGGTTGACCATTGAATTGTGTTATTATACTAAATTTTCGAATATCGTCTTCGCCTGTATTTATTTGAAGAGAGTCCACACTAGTTCCATTTCGCTAATAAATTTTTGTATATGAAAAAAAAAAAAAATTAAAACAAATTTTAATTAAATTATTTTGATATATTTAAGTATAATTTAGTTTAATGGGTTAAATAAAAATTACTTAAGAAGATTGTAAAGTTAAATAATTTTATTAACTACATATGTAGATTGAGGATGCATTCGAGGTACAATTGCAGCAATACAGCCATTTGGAGGATGGAGTCATGTGTAGAAGTTCATGCAAAAGAAGAAAATTCTCTGATCGCCATTCACTTGGGGGTGGCCAGAAACGATTGTTTTATATATGGCTCATACCCCCTCAAAACGCCCGCAATAAAAAATAACAAAAAGCCTCGGATGAGAGACCTCCTTTTGATGGAATAAGGATTATGATTTGAGGGCATTCCAGGTGCATGCCTCCTTAATTGGGAAGGTGCCGCTGACCAGCTGATTGATGTCCTCGTTTTGTAAAGTGAAGGCTGACATCACCGCCGACCAAGAAATACGATGGACGGGACAAGGACTGATGCGAGTAGGTCCTTGTGGCATTTACTGCAGTGGCCATATAAAGGAGCGCAAGTTTGGTGTGGGATTGGTGTTGGGAGAGAGACCCCGTCACAGAATACTGCCATTCACTCAACATATCGCTGATTTGCTCCCACGCCTCGGCAGAAGAGAAGGACGATGTGACCATAGATATCTTCTATGAGCGTTTGAAGCGCAAATATGAGAGCTGCCCAAGCCACAATATCAAAACCGTGTTTGTCGACTTTAACGCCAAGGTGGGCAAAGAAGGTATCTTTGGCACTACGGTTGGTAAATTCAGCATAAGAAAATTCACCAAGCCACCTGGCTGCCTCCGGATCGAAAAACCACCAACCAAATCGATAATGTTGTGGTAGACGAAAGATACGTCTCCAGTGTTTTAGAAGTGCGTACGCTCCGCGGTGCTAACATCGACTTGGACCACTACCTTGTTGCAGCCAAGAAGGTTCGACGTCGAGAAGCTGCAGTCACAAAAGATAGCTGAATGATTTCCTACTCTATTTGCACTCCTTCCCTCTGAGAGCACTCCTCAACAACTTGGTACAAAAAAAATGTGGGACGGCATTTTAAACTCCTTACGTGCAGCTGCAACCGAAACCATTGGTTTTCGTAAAAAGCAAAAGAACAGCTTGTACGACCAGGAGTGGCAGTGTGTGAGTGTCGCAGTGGAGAGAAAACAGACTGCCTACATCGCAACGTTACGATGCGTGAGTATGAAGAGCTTGACAGGGTGATCGATAGGGGTAATTCTCGAAAATTCTACGAAAAGATGCGGCGACTCAAGGCCTAAGCATACTCTTGTAGAACCCACAGAGATGATCTAGTGCCTGATGCCTAGTGCCTGATGATAAAGAGCAAATATTAGTTTTTTTGTTAAATATGGTCGGCCGAAAGCATGCTTGAAGTTCTTCGATCTTGCGTTAGTCTTTTGCAGTTTCATTGGCACTGAACTAGCGCTTCAGGAGAAGAGTCTGAATAATGAAAGTCCTGATCCAGGAACCATGGCTGCCTAGTAACGGGATCTCTGGATTGAAAACGAAATGCCATAAGCTACTAACGACCAAGGATGCAAGTCAGAAATGAATTAACGGTATTTCTTTTTCTTAGAGAAGTCTGTTTAATTTCCGCGTACATGTTCCGCAACCAACTCGCAACCGGCGGATACAGTGAAACATCTAAGGCTCATCCCGATAGGAAACTTTCACGGAAGCCGAATATCGAAGAGGAAGCAAAAAATGCATCGATTGCTCTATATTGCTGTAGAGAAGCTATTGGCAAGAGATGGGGCCTCTCACCGAAAGTGGTACTCTGGTTCTATAACACCATAGTCAAGCCCATTATGTTCTATGGAGTCTCTATGTGGTGGAGGGCTTTAGAGGAGACCAAACTTGCAAAGAAACTCGTGTGCGTTCAATGGGTTACGCTATTCGGCATGTGTGGTCCACTCCAACCATTGCCCTTAATGCAATCTTAAACATAATGCCCTTGGACATCGCCGTCGGTGGCTGTTAGATTCAGAGGATCTGGGCTCACACACTTTGTCTGCATACCGGATCATATGGATCATGGTGCTATGGGTGGGAAGAAGCCGTTGGAGGTGAGGGGCAGTAAGGTTCTTTACGGATTTGTCAAAGCTGGGGGGAAAGGTTGGTGGAGGGGCTTACTGTCGCGGCCTCTCTATCAACCGCAATTTCAGACACCCTGACTATTACAGTGACTTCCAGGCTGAGGTTGTAGTCATCAAAGTAGCAGCAGATTTTCAGGAATTAGGAATTAGTTGAAAGATCCAACTTTGATGCCTATTTGTCAAGATGGATGACTATTTTTTGGAAGTAATTTTCGGAAGAGCAGTGGAGTATAATCCTCGAGATGATAAATCAAAATTTCATTGAGTTACCGAAAAATATGCAGCACGTGCGCAACAACAAAACACATCGTCCTCTTTTGGGAAACAGCTCAATTATATGGAGGGTTATGAAAAAGTTTTGTCAAGTAACTTTTCTCCCCTGGTATTAAGCGGGAACAGTTTAAAGAATTTTTCATACATCGATACGAAAGTGAATAGAAGCCAGCCGCCATTTATTGACTGTCGGCGAATGCCATTCAGTTTTTTATCAGTTGTTTGGTGATGACAGTAACAAGGAACCCTTCAAGAAGGCGTGTTATCTAAACTTCTCTGCATCTTAACAATGAATACAATGTTTTTAGATCCAGAAAAGTATGAGGGTTCATGTTGTATCTTACGCTGATGACGCGTCGGTTTCGGTAAGAGTAAATTCACGAATACCCTCGCTGTCATTATGCAAATGATATTAAATGACATATATCGTGCGAACTAAACTTAAATGCTAGCAAAATATAGCTATTATAATTCTCTAGAAAACACAGAACTTCGGAAGTTATGTCGTCATATTAAATGGTATCAACCTAACAGCGGGAGATAAGGCTATTTGGGACAAAGAAGATGTCATGGAAGCCACATTTAGACGCTAGTCTAAGAAAAGCAGCTAAATCACTTAACATCTGTATAAGATGGAGGAGCTCAAATAGGGATTAAAGGTTCGGGTTACTCATTGTCTTCGTACAAGAGTTGTAAGGTTATGATTTACGATATATTCCTAAGGTGGCCATTAACGGAAAAGAAATATGTGGTAAGATGAATGGAAGGTACACAAAGAACAGCTTGTATATGCATTACTGGAGCTCTTAGAACAACGCCAAGTCAGGTACTAACCGTCATTGCCAACAGACTTGTTCCGTAAACAACTGACAGCTCAAGGCTGAGAGAATTATCCTTATTAGTCGAAAGTAACAAGAGATATTCTATGATACCGCTTCTACCCAATACCACGGATTTTCGAATTATTTTAAAATTTAATTTAAATTCGATTCATAATATCGCCTTCCCTTCCAGAAACAAGTGGGAAAACGATCGAGATGGACACGGACTTAGGAATAAACATCTATCCTATTTGACGATAAACCTGCAATGGGTTCCAAGTCATAGTGATATCTCTCAACAAACAGGCAAAAGTGGCATGAATGGAACATGGGACGAACCTGTCAACTGTTAAAATTAAAAACGAATGATATAAGAACTCTTGAAAAATTGCTAATAGGTCACTGTCTAAATATCAGATATTCCAGCAGATTAAGAACACCATATAATGACTATTGTAGAAATTTTCAAGAGGTAGATAAAGATAAAAAATAAAACATCTTCTATTTGAATCGATTTGTATAAGTAAAATCCCATCTGTTGGTCGAAGGTTTCTTAACGACGTTTCGGAGCTTACACAGGTAAAACTTTTCATACGGATGAACTCCGTAGAAGCACGAGGTGGTTCAGAGTGGAGAGAATGAAGTAAGGGGACTTTAATCTCTTAGTGAGCCTGCGGAAGGTGTCGTTAGACCGCCACACTACCTAGCTACCTATGGTTTCCGACTTCCCTTCTGGGTGTTACATACTCCGTGGCAAGTGTTTTTTAAGAGATGTATCAGATGATTAACTTTTATGGGAAAAGTTGTTGTTTCGTTGGGTCACTTCACTAGGGTCTAATTTAATATAATTTTTTATGATTTTTCTTTTTTTTTCAGTGTAAAAAATTAAACTTTGTAAATTTTTTAAACACGTGTGTGGCTCTGTGAAATATTTCTTAAATTTCTAAATAACATTTTCACATGACTTCGTACTTAAGTAAAAGATAGCATTTTATACTACAATTAACATATAAGTGGATTATTTTTTTAGAAGGAAGATAAAGGTAATTCTAATTCTAAGAAACCTCAGTGCACTATTCCAGAAAATATGGTTAAATTTAAATGATTGTTTTTAAGTCGCAACTCTTTAAAGTGCAACTATCCGAAGGATAGTGGATTTACAAAATAATAAGTTTGGTCGACAGACTATAAACAATATAAGTGTTCACAATTTATATGTTGCATAAATATTGAAATTACTGTAGTTAGATGTACTTACATTCATTAATAAGCCGAAGTGAGATGACCCGGTTCCAATATCCAATGATACAATTCGATCACGGTATCCCCACAAAAATTCATGTGCCGTAAGAGTCTTAAATGCACCCTCGTCATATGCATTAATTATTTTTATGGCCATAATTTTCTTGAAAATATTAATTTTTTCAATTTTAGTAGAAGCACTTATTAGGGGCACGTTAGGAAGCACAAATATTTCGCGTTCTTCACAGTTAGATTTTTCGGGTAGAAACTGGTAAGTTCTATGATCCTAGATGTCACAAATAAGAAATAAAAAATATAATAGCAAGGTGCATATATTAATACCAGTGTTAAAGTTTAAAAATACATATAAACAAATTTTTCATTCTATATTTGACTGTATTTTAATGTTCCCCTGCTTAGCAATTAAGTTTATCTTAAATTACAACGAGCGCATCAGTGATTCATCAAATTTTTTACTTCAAATATTTACTGCATTTTCCTTTTAATTGTTTGTAAAACACTTCCAGGAAAAAAATCACGAGCAAAAGTAAGTTTTACTAAATTAAGATACTATAACGAAATTGTACAAAAATATTTGTGAAATTAAGAGATAAAAAATGTTTAATGTGTTACTGAATGTTACTTAAATTTTGAATAAAGAGGGGAGCCTAGTTTAGAGGCTTCAAATAATCGATTTTTCACGATTTTTTTGAAAAGGAAAGAAATAATTGATTAAGGCAAATTTTCTAGGGTTTATAGTTATATATTTAAGCATTATTCACAAATTTTTTTGGATACGAAATTTTTGATATTGAGATAATTTAATACCAAAGATAATAAAATTTGCCCCAATTCTTTACGACGTTTAGTTTTTTTCTATCCTGCCCGCCAATTAAAAAAATTCGTAAAAATGAGAAACCGAGAAATCGCGTGTCAAAGTTTTCGCTTTCTGCCCAAGTGCTTATATATCTGCCAGGCGCTCACTCAATCTTTTCCTTCTAGCTTCGAAAATATTTCAAATTCTCATCTAAAACTTTGAGGACATATTCTTAGATTATTTTTAAAGAGATTTAAGCAAAAAAAAAATCGATTTTTTGAAGCTTTTAAATCAGGCTCCCCCCTTAAGTTGGAAAGTAAAACGTATACAATCAATTGCAAGAAAAATTTAGGAAAATTATATCTAAAGAATATAAAGTAAATATACATAAAATAGAAATTTGAAAAATTGAAATAAATGTTTAATGAAGATAGCTAATTTTTACGAGATTTGGAATAATATTTTAACTTTGTTTTAATTATTATTTGTTATTATTTCTTTCAAATGAAAGCGGACATACCTTTCATTTCGAAAACCGTCCTACCTCTAATCCCATATTAATAAATACTATAAAAGATGTATTAGAGAAAATGAGTACACCAAATTTTAGCAAGATTTGTAAACACACAGTCACAATGTGGCGCTAAATGCGCACAATACAAACAAATTAAATAAAATTTTAGATATGGTAAAATGTCTTTGGGAGTTCTCAAAATGACCAAAACAGATAGATCTCTGAGAAAGACTGTAAATAGAATTGTCAAAACGTACGATGGGCTCAAGAAATACTTTCCTATTTTACTCACGGTGAGACACAAAATATTCGGCGACGTTTGTCATGATCTAATGAGAATGCATAACTCATAAAGGGATGCAGTTGTCAGCACATTTATTAGAGGTTAGAACGGCGATTTACTCTTTATTATCAGCACTCCTGAATCCGCAACCTTCCCTCATACATAGACCAAGTTTTGCACAATATGTTCTTCAAAACAATCACATTACAAGGTGTTTCTCAAAGTAAAAAGGACTTTTTGAATCTAGCGTAACCTGGTAGCGCCATATATATGTCGATTGGTGAGTTAGAATCTATTATCTTTATCGATTGTCCAGTGAGAATTTCATGACATTTCATTGATTGGAAGTGAAGTTATTGCGTTTGAAGTGTCAGTGTGTTTGTGATATCGGTGCGAAAATGAGCTATGAACAAAAAGCCAACATTAAATTTTGTTTTAAAATTGGTAAAACTTTTGCCAAAACAACTGATTAAACAAGTTTATGGCGATGTTTGCCTATCCCGTAATAGAGTGCACAAGTGATTTCAAAGTTTTCAAAGTAATCGTGAGGACATAAATGACGATCAACATGTGTGCCAATCAAAATCCGTGATCACCGGAAATTTCATCGAAACTGTGCGTGAATTCATGAAAAATCAGCCGAAATCATCATTGAAATTCATGAAAATGGAATTAAACATATCCAAAACATCGATTTATTGCATTTTGACCGAACGTTTGGGCTTACGAAAAGTGTGTGCACGGTTTGCTCCGCACAAGTTGACTGACGAAGACAAATTGCTCAGAATCCAACATTCGAAGGACGATTATTTGACCAAAAATCACATTTTAACAATTAACCACTCCCCGTATTCACTTGATATAGTACGGTGAGACTTCTTTCTTTTCGGAAAAATGCAAATGACCGACATACTAGCGACCACACTCGTTCGACATGCTTTCGGACCGTGCAAAAAGCTGCATTGAAGCAGGAGGAGGCTATTTTGAATAAAATTAATAGATATTTCCGAAAAAACCATTTGTCCTGTTTATTTTTTAAAATAATGTTTACTTTTGATCGCATCTTATATACGTCCATATACACATAATTAAAACAATCAGTCATCGCCACGACTACACCGAGTAACACCCCCCATCCTCGCTGTAGTAGCAAATTTAGTAATTTAATAACAACAGATCTTTTTATCCCGAGCTTTCATATTCTAACTTTCCTAAACAAATCAGCTGCCAATATGCATCTTCCAAATAGAGTACAATGAAGCTTTTTTACATGGAATCAACCAATGCCGATTGGAATTTATTCCAAGATTTCTTATTTAGAAATTATAGTACAACAAATCAAATTAATTCACTTCCTCAAGAATATTACGATATACGAATTTAGAAAATTTCGCTGAAAAAAGTAAAGTAAATAATCTTATTAAAACTTAGTATTCAGCTCTCTAGAAATGTAAAAACTTCATATAATAAACGCTTAAGAAATTATCAAGAAAATTTCCTGCGGAAAAATTTCTTGTCCTAGTAAGTGAGAGACCAATTGCTAAACGTCAAAACCTACCAAACTTTGACAGTTGACTGGATTGAGTAGGTTTTGACGTTTTGCAATTGGAATGACTGGAACGGCCAGATTGAAATTATACCAAAAATATATGTGAACGGAGGAATTTATTGCCGCGATGTGGCCATGAAGGACACCATGCTAGGAGATGTCGTAATCCCAGGAAGTTATTTCGCAAGGAGTGTCACCGAGCGGACGTGCTAACGAAAGAGTGTTGTCATCAGCAACAGGAAAAGGCCAAGGGTTTCGCCAAAGACCAGTAATTATGCATCAGGAGCGCGGCCGGCTATACGCCCTAATCACGCTTGGCGGAGAACCGGTGGAAGCCATCATTGACACTGGCGCCTCGAAAAGTTTCATATCACCACGAGTTGCAGAACGTATGGACGCAACCGGGAATGGTAAGAAGGTGACCGTAGCTATATACAGATGGCCGATGGCATCACCAGCAAGATTTTCGATGCCGTGGAAACCAACATTCAACTCGGACAGACATCGCTAAAGGCAGTGTTATACGTGATGCCCGGAGCGATTGATGACGTCATACTCGGATTGGATACACTGGGGAGCAYGGGAGCTATAGTATCCTGCGGAGGTCACCAGGTAGTGCTGAAACCGTCCGATGCTCACCAAACTACGGCCTCCCGCACCATGTCATCAGGAGCCGTAAGCAACGTGATTCCTACTACACCAGACACACGCCTGCTAAAGCGCAAGAAGAAATCTTTGTAAAGTAAATTTTTTTTCCTTCTCTAATAACTATTGTAAATTAGCAATGAAATTCATTGAATTTTGCACGGAATGCAAAGTTTGAGAACTAAATATCTATGCAGAATTTAGTCCATACAACCCATAAAGGCCCACCATATTGTTCACAACACAACGGGAAAACCACGCCACTTCTATAAACACAAGAAGCTGAAACAACACGAATGCAGTAAAAACACGTCACGCAAGCAATACAACGGGATAATCACGGAGACGAAGAAATCAGACAAGCAGACGAAACAACAAAAAGCATGCATACGCAGCGGTAAAACTACGCCACTGCCAGCACCATACGCCATCCCAGCAACACACGCCATCCCAACGCAACATGTTGCGAATGWGTTAGCACGCAGCACAGGCTTGGTGGGGAGTTAGATGGCCGATGATCAGGGAGTCAGCACGGGACTGTGACAGCGTATACACGTTCAGCATCAGATTACGCAGTGACTTTATCCTCTAACTAGTCTTGGTACTCTGATTTGTAAACGCCATCTGTTAAGGGTGAACTTGGTAGTGAGTTTATCCTCTGACCAACTCAACCTTTAACATCGCGATCGCTGACGCAGTCTTCCGTGATTCGGTATCTTTACGCGGCAAAGGTGGTCGAACAGGACATCACTAGAGTAACACGCGAGTGTAACGTGGACAGCGTCATTGAAGTCTACACGAGCGCCGGCAGAAGTAGCCAGGCGTAGTCGTCGTARCMCGCGAGCGTCAACGTATACGCCAGGATATCGTCATCAAAGCATACAGGAGCGCCGGCAGAGATAGCCGGGCGCAGTCGCCGTAGCGGAGGAGCGTCAACACCGCCAGGACACCGTCATTGAATCCCACGCGAGCGCCGGTGATTGTCGTGGTATAGGACAGCAAGTCGTCTAGCACCCAGGAGCACAGCAGAGCGGGAAACGGTATTGTCCTCGGGCGACGACAGTAAAACGCAGGAGATAAATAAAGTACGATTCGCAGAAGAGCCCCAGTATTTACAAATTGATTGTAACGAACCCTGGACACGGCGAGTATACCTCAGCAATTTATTCTTGTAAGAAGCAGGGGCAGCAAACAGCTTCGTTACAGTATGTCACACTAACCGTTCATCCTAAAGTTAACTACATAGGTAGATAATTTTTTTTTTTTTGTTGTACAAATCGCAATTGGTGGCCATGTTCAATTTTTGCATGAGTTGAATTTTATAAGATCCAAGATCCTTCCACTAAATCTTCCATAAACTGGATGTTATTGCGCCCGATAGCGGATAGAATCATTCGAATCTTATTCGATACTCTGTTCCGCACCAGCAACAACGTCTTCGGTGCGCACTATATAGCGTTGCTGATGAAACTTTTTGC